TGTCGTTTCTAAACGCGTTTACCAAACGAAAAAAATTCGAAGTTATATCATTTTAACGTCGTTAGAAAACGCGTTCAACAGAAACGCCAGAAAACGGTTAATTTAACGGTCGTTAGCAAACGCGTTGTCGAAGAACGCGTTATTCTAAACTTTTGAACGACAAAAAGCGCGTTTAAACGGCTCTTTTAACGATCGTGCGCTAACGCGTTTATAAATGGCTGTTCGCTAACGCGTTCCGGAAAACGCGTTTAAACGACAAAAAAAACGCGCTGGTTTTGAAACCTTTAACGCGTTTTCTGGTCGTTAAAAACGAAAAAAAACGCGTTTTTTGTCAGTTTTATTTTAGATCATCAGTTTTGTACTTTCTTTATTATAGACTTTCAACTATTTTTAGATCAGTCCCACTGGGTAGCCAAGTCTCACCTTTGGCTTTACCAAAATTTTCTATTCTCACACGGTTTTATTTCGTTTTTAACGATCAAAAAACGCGTTAAATGTTTCATCTGAAACGTGTTTTAGAACGTTTGAAAACGCGTCTTTTGTACGTTTTTAACGCAAAAGTAACGCGTTCTCTAACGCGTTGCGAAATTCCGAAAAACGCCTTTTCAAACGAATAGATAAAAGAAAAACGCGTTTAAACGACAAAAAGAAACGCGTTGGTTCTGAAACCTTTAACGCGTTTTTTGGTCGTTAAAAACGAAAAAAAAACGCGTTTTTTTGTCAATTTTTTTATCCCTGGGTATAACAAGAACTTTCGAATGGTATATAGCAGTGACACAATGATATTAAACCCACAGAAATCATCCATTAGTCAGCATGATATCGTTATCCAACATCTCTGTTCTAGAAATTCACAAACGGAAGGCTTCTGACATACATCTGCTAAGCCTTCATAATGCACAAATTAAAAACTTTTAACAATTTCATAATATCCTCAAGTGTTAGCCTTGGCAGTGTGCAAAATAGTCACTTATATTTACTTTAATTATTTTACATGAAAATCTCTAAAATTTACAATAAAAGTTTCAGTTTAATTCCTTTCCTACTATTTTTTCATGGTTTTGTTAGTCACACCATTCGAAGTTCAGGTTCGAAATCAAATTTTTATTTCTTTATCCTTTTATTTAGAATTTCAACCGGATAATATTAGATCAAAATCTGCTGCGGCAGCCGGATTATGTGCGTGGGTTATTAATATTGTCAAATTTTATGAAGTCTACTGTGAAGTTGAACCCAAACGACTAGCTCTAGAAAAAGCAAATGCCGAGTTGAAAGCGGCTCGAGATAAATTAGAGATTGTTAATAAACAAGTGGCGGTGAGTTATTTGATTTTTAACAAATCTCGTGACTTTTTTGAGAATCTTAGCTACTTGTTGCAGTCAGGCCTGGGCGAGTGCAGACTTGGACTCAGATCCGGACTGATAGATTTTTTGGTTGACTTGGACCTGAGTTTTTATATTTTGAATCCCATCCATCAACTTTTAACATAAATGAACAGGAAATTTTTTTTTTCAATACCACTATGGGATATATAGACGCATATATGTCACTCTCTTTAAAAATTATAGACTCGTCCAGCTCTGGTTACAGTACCCATCAAGAGTATGTTGTCTACGGATCTCGTCTCTACAAGTTTTGTGTGTGCATAGCTCTCATTCTTACATGTTTATCACTCAATAAGTTTATGGGTAATTATCTCTCTTTTCTGAAAAAAGTTTGGATTTTGAGTTGAACATAGCCTAATGTGGAGGGATGCCTGAGTTCCAAAATAAGGACATTTCGCTACCTTTTTGATGAAAACTTATAAACTTGGTGTCAATTGGATCTGCGTCTTCAACTTTGCCAACAAGGTGAAAGAGAGGGGAAGTATCCTTAAACTCGTTGAGGAATTAATAAAAAAAATATGTATTAAGAACTGTGTCCACACATATTGAAGACATGAGCTCTCGTGGTTTCTGAGATACAAGAAGGACATACTTTTGTCACGTACTAAAACAACCAAATGTTCAACTGCCAGTGGAAAGTCCTACATTATAACTCGTGAATTCTCTTTGTTCATTGTAGCAATTAGAAGAAGCATTGGCGAAACTAACAGCTGAGTATGATACAGCCATGTCCGCAAAACAAAAATGTCAAGAGGAAGCTGATCGTACAGCATATACAATATCATTAGCCAATCGACTCGTCGGTGGGTTAGCCTCGGAAAATGTTCGATGGCGTGAAGCTGTTGCTGGTTATCGGCTATCTGAAAACACGACGCCTGGTGATGTTTTGCTCATAACAGCATTTGTATCCTATATGGGATGTTTTACAAAAACTTATCGTGTCGATTTAATGGAAAATTATTGGAGACCAAAATTATCCGAATTGAACGTAAGATGATAGCCAAACACATTCGGCTCGAGATAAGCCGATTTATATGCGGGGATAGTGTTAGTGATGTCGAAGTAGTAAAACCATTTTTCTGTTTCTAGCCTCCAATACCTGTTACTGCCGAGATCGATCCGTTAACATTATTAGTCGATGATGCGGTTGTTGCTGGTTGGAACAATGAAGGTTTACCATCAGATCGCATGTCAAGTACGCAATATACTATAATAACAGTCATTCTAATTGTTAATATGCATTATGTCTATTCTAGCTGAAAATGCAACAGTTTTAACGTGTTGCGAAAGATGGCCTTTAATGATTGATCCGCAATTACAAGGTATGTGATATTAACAATCAAATTGTATTTCTACTTTTTATAATTATACTAATTTCAGGCATAAAATGGATTAAACAACGTTTTGGTGAACGTATTAAAGTCATTCGTCTTGGACAAAAGCAATATCTGGATAAAATTGAGCAAGCAATAATAGATGGTAGTGTATTGTTACTCGAGAATATTGATGAATCAATTGAAGCCGTATTAGACCCATTATTGGGAAGAAATACCATTAAGAAAGGAAAAGCAATTAAATTAGGAGATAAAGAAATTGAATATCATCCAGGTTAGTTAATAAAATCTTGTTCAAATTGCGTTCTCTTCGAACTCATACTGTATGACTCAAACAATATTACCGTTTTTATACTCGTTCGTCTAAAGTACCCCCACTTGTTTTAGGTTTTCGTCTCATATTACAAACAAAATTAGCTAATCCACACTATAAACCCGAAATGCAAGCTCAAACAACATTAATTAATTTTACCGTCACTAAAGATGGTTTAGAAGATCAATTATTAGCTGATGTTGTAGCTAAAGTATGTGTTGTTCTTCGTTGTTGTCTAAAATGTGTTTAAACATCTGTTGTTTATTTTAGGAACGTCCTGATTTAGAACGACTGAAATCAGATTTGACGAAACAGCAGAATGAATTTAAAATAACATTGAAAAAATTAGAAGATTCTCTTTTGGCTCGTTTGTCATCAGCTGAAGGCAATTTTCTGGGAGATACAGAATTGGTGGAAAATTTAGAAAATACAAAACGTACTGCAACTGAAATTGAAGAAAAAGTCAAAGAAGCAAAAGTAACATCGATTAAAATTGATGAAGCTAGAGAATTGTATCGACCAGCTGCTGCCAGAGCTAGTCTGCTCTATTTTATTATGAATGATTTAAATAGAATTAATCCAATGTATCAGTTTTCATTAAAAGGTATGTTAACTAATAACTAGCAGGACGATAAATATTGGAAATCAGACAGACATTTAGAATGCGCGAGGTGTGAACATATTTTACTTTTCATTAGTGGATGATAAACATCGACATCGAGACTATCATTTGGAATATTAGCAAATCTATGTTCGTCTTTTCGAAGAACATTTTCAAAATGTCTGAAAATATTTTTTTTTCTTAAGTAAGAAATTTTTCGTAATATTCTAGTAAACAAAGTTTCTTTATGTATCCCTGTCGACCATACTGAATCCGATGCACATACGCCCGCGGACATATGTACATCGGATTCGGCATAGTCAAAAACCTACTGCGACGTGAAATTTGTAAAAAACACAAAAAATAAAAAAATCGTTCTTTTGTACAATAGGGTATCCAGAAACCGTCTTGAAAAATCCTCAAAAAAAAACTAGTTCAGGGCATAGAACCTAGTCCATTTGAAAGAAGGCACTTCAGGCTATTAAACCATGTACTTATTTAAAAAACGATATTTTTAACAAAAATTGATATTGCTGCCCTTAAAGAATTGTCTTTGTCTTCTGGATATTTATTCTCCCAGTAAAAATGTTTTTTATAGATTACATACAGATGAAAGATTAAAGTTTGCACATAAAGTTCAGAAGGAAGAAAAAGTCTACTTCCGCTAAAAATTTTTCCGAAAAAATAAGTTCAGAATTCGTCTCATAATGTTCATCTACCTATTCTTACTATTAGCGGAAAGTAGGATCTCTTTTATGTGATCCAACATGGATTCTATAGAAAGTTTTAATTTCGCAACGAGATCATATTATAAAACAAAAGTGATATTCATAATCAGCTCATTGAGTTCCATTCCGACGTTTTGAGTTTGCCGAAAGCGATCATTTTAGAATTTCAGTTAGATTTCCAAGTCCGGATCAGCTATTAGAAAAAAAGCTTCGGCTGGTTGAAAAAATAAAATATTGTTCGCTAGCAACCGAGTAGTTTGCGTTCAGATTCGGATATTTTTCGCTTCTGAACATAGACTGAATGATTGGTTTTTTCTGTGTTTAGCATTCAAAGTTGTATTTGCATCTGCTATCGAACGTGCTGAACCAGATGAAGATGTTAAAAAACGTGTATTGAATTTAATCGATTCTATTACCTATTCGACATTTATTTATACTACACGAGGTCTATTCGAAAAACATAAACTCATATTTACGTCACAAATGGCATTTCTGGTATGTTTCGATATCAACAGAAAAAAATCCTTCATTAATAAAATACTCAATTATTTCAGATCTTACTTGTTCAAAAAGAAATTGATATGAAAGAATTAGATTTTCTTTTACGTTTTCCGATTGTACCTAATGTCACATCACCTGTAGACTTTTTAAACGATTTCTCATGGGTAAGAAAATTGAACATGTATTTATTCATTCTTCACTATTGAACATTGTTTCCCATTCGTAGGGCGGAATAAAAGCCTTATCACAAATGTCAGAATTTACAAATCTCGATCGAGATATTGAAGGTTTGTTGAAACCGGCTTATGTAAATTCTCATATGTGAAAGATTAACTCCTTCTATAGGCTCAGCTAAACGATGGAAAAAATTTGTTGAAATGGAAGCGCCAGAAAAAGAAAAATTACCACAAGAATGGAAAAATAAAACACCGTTACAAAAACTGTGTATGATGAGAGCACTAAGACCAGATAGAATGCTCTATGCCCTAAGGTAATAAGCAGAAACAATAAAATTATTCTATCTATTATAGACCTATTCTATTATTTTTCTTTTTTCTCTAGTTTATTCGTTGAAGAAAAACTTGGCAAACAATTTGTTGAAAATCGTGCAGTGCCTTTCACAAAATCCTATGATGAAACGACACCCAGTACGCCAGTATTCTTCATTCTATCACCTGGTGTGGATCCAATTAAAGATGTGGAAGCATTAGGAAAAAAATTAGGATTTTCATCAAATTTGAAAACATTTCATAATATATCACTTGGACAAGGTATATATGCTCTTCTTTTAGCCGTTAATGACAAAAGTAAAATGTTAGAGAGTGGATTGATAATATTTCTAAGATAATTGCATTTTAATAATATATTTAAACAATCCTTCTAGGAGTATTTTTGTACAATTCATTGTTCTTGTTTTATAGAAGTCACATCAGTGAAAAATAATTAAGCGTTGAAGCAGCATTTTGATCGAAGTACAGAACGGCTCAAGAAATTGAATTCGATTTGGGTTGATATTTTCAAAATCTGAATCCGGTTCGATTCGATCCAATTCAATGAAAATTGACACTTCCTTTTCCTTAGTTTTTAATTTTTCATTCTGAATAGACTGCCTAGAGTTAGCCTTAGGTTAGCATATTTGAACAGAATATGTGATTTATGTGAGTAGAACTTTCACAGATGAATCACACCAAAACATACAAAGAAAAGAATATAAATAAAAGAGTTGTTCATAAGACTAGTGTTCCCATTTATCATTTTCGACCGAGCGTAAAACTAATATATATTGTTGACTGTCGATGGATCTAAGCTTGAGCAATATTAGGGACAAAAATCAAGTTCGGTTCGGGTCCGGGAATCGATTTCGAGGACTGCAAACTTCCTGTTTTATAATGTAATACTCTCTTTTATTGGTCTTGAAAATTTTTTATGAAGATTGAGTTTAGGGAATCAAAAATAACTGTTTAAAAAAAGTTCTTTTTGAACTGAACGTTTTGAAAAATATTATTGATCAATAACCAAGGGATATTTTCATAAATCAAAAAAGCCACGGCACATAATGATCCTGTATCTCAGCCAACAACGTTAGTTTCTTAAATCGCGAAAAGTTACTTCATTTTTTTTCTTCAGAAAAAAGAATTATAGAAAATACGAAACCGGTCGAATATTACGATGGTTGAAAATCAGTATCGTAATTTTTTTGGTTAGTTGTTAACAGAGCGTCTCAACTAACTTGGAGACATCCGTATAGTCAAGCGTGATTATCGACAAAATACTTGACCCATTTTGTGGAAAAAAGTTGCTTTTCCTCTTCAGGAAAAGGAGAGATGCACTGCACTGCACTTTACAATTTATCCACATCTAAAGAACGTTTGACTTTCAGCATTAAAAGAACCTACAGACTTTTATATCACTTATGTTATTCAATATTTTTATTTAGGTCAACAAGTTATCGCGGAGGAAGCAATGGATATTGCATCAAAAGAAGGACATTGGGTCGTGTTACAAAATATTCATTTAGTTGCCAAATGGCTACCACAATTAGAAAAGAAATTGGAACAATGTGCAGAAAATAGTCATGAAAAATTTAGAATGTTTGTGTCAGCTGAACCAGGTAAGACTTAGTAAGATTAAGTGTCTAAACATCTTAACCATTGATGTGTATTGTACTTTAGCTGGTGATCCAGCTGCCCATTGTATTCCGCAAGGTATTCTTGAGTCGGCTGTCAAAATGTATGTATTCTATTTCGATTTGTTTATAAAATATTTTCTATCACATTATATTTGTGTTTAGTACGAATGAACCTCCAACAGGTAAAGTTAAATATTTATCTAGCTGCTTTTGTTTTGATTTGGGTTTTTTCATAGGTATGCAAGCTAATTTGCATAAAGCATTAGATTTATTCAATCAAGATACGCTTGAAATGTGTGCAAAAGAAACGGAATTTAAATCAATTCTATTTGCTCTCTGTTATTTCCATGCAGTTGTTGCTGAAAGGTAGACTATTTTCTTCTAATTTTACCATTGATGTCATTATTATATTCTTTTTCTTTTTCAGACGTAAATTCGGTGCTCAAGGTTGGAATCGTAATTATCCATTTAATAATGGTGATTTAACAATCAGTGTTAATGTATTGTACAACTATCTTGAAGCAAATCAAAAAGTACCTTGTAAGTAAAGATTATGACATAATTGATCGCGAAGAATATCTTGAAAAAAATATTTAATTTTTTTCAATTTTTATTTAAGGGGAGGATTTACGTTATTTATTCGGTGAAATTATGTACGGAGGTCATATTACAGATGACTGGGATAGACGATTATGTAAAACTTATCTTGAAGAGTATATGAATCCCACAATGGTAAGTGTGTGGAAAACTTATGATCCCGGAGGGTGTTTCATAAAAATTCTTAAGTGCTTCACCTAACTAAGTCTAGACTTACATCAGACTTAAGTGTATAAAATTAAGACGTAAGTGTACAAAACGAAGATTTAAGTCTAGACTTAGTTAAGTCGAGCACTTAAGAATTTTTATGAAACACTCTCCCGCTTTCTAAGTCAAAAAAAGAATGAGCCGTAGTTTCAAACTGAATACTATAGATGTCGCGCATTGTTACAAGTTTATAATAATGCGGCAGAAAGAAATTGGTCTTGTGTATTGATCATTCTATTTTAGTTTGACGGTGAACTCTATTTGGCACCCGGTTTTCCAATTCCGCCTTCAACAGATTATAAAGGCTATCATCAATATATTGATGAATTTTTACCTCCGGAAAGTCCATATTTGTACGGTTTACATCCAAATGCTGAAATTGACTTTTTAACAATAACATCCGAAAATCTATTCAAAACGGTATTAGAAATGCAGCCACGAGATGCAGGTGCTCTCGCTGCAGGTGAAGGTCAAGCAATGACAAGAGAAGAAAAGGTATGAATTAATTTTAAATATTTTTAGTTGTTTTACTAAAATTTCATATTTTTTAGATTAAAGTGAAATTGGATGAAATCTTAGATAGACTACCCGATGAATTTCCTGTCCGAGAATTATATGCTAAAGCTGAAGAAAAGACTCCATATACCGTTGTAGCATTGCAAGAATGTGAAAGAATGAATTTATTAACTCGAGAAATGAGACGATCGTTGAAAGAACTCAATTTAGGATTAAAGGTATGGTATATCAGTAGTCAATAATTTTAAACTAAATCGTACAATTGGCATGTTTAAGGCAAAAAAAGTGTCTGGCTTCGTTTTAGGGTGAATTAACAATAACAGCTGATATGGAACAGCTGCAGGATGCTCTATTTCTTGAGCATGTACCAGCTGCATGGACAAAACTTGCTTATCCATCAATGTTTGGTCTTTCTTTATGGTACAGTGATTTATTATTGCGTATTAAAGAATTAGAATTATGGACGGGTGATTTTCAATTACCCGCCGCTGTATGGCTAGGTGGTCTGTTTAATCCTCAATCATTTTTAACAGCTATTATGCAAACAACAGCAAGAAAAAATGAATGGCCATTAGATAAGATGTGTTTGTCGGTTGATGTAACAAAAAAAACGAGAGAAGAATTAGGTGGTGCACCACGAGAAGGTGCCTATGTACACGGTCTGTACATGGAAGGAGCACGATGGGATACACAAACTGGACAATTGAGTGAAGCAAGATTAAAAGAGCTAACACCAATGATGCCCGTTGTCTTTGTCAAAGCAATACCAGGTAACTTTATGTTTCCAAACACGCTCTTTTCTTTCTCATCTGATGTAGAACATCATTTATTAAACAACACAGTAGTTCTCTTAAAAGTGAAAGTTTTTTTCTGTTGTCAATAAGTTATCTATGATCACTGATATTTTAGTCGACCGTCGTGAAACCAAAAATATTTATGAATGTCCTGTTTACAAAACAAAACAGCGTGGTCCAACATTTGTTTGGACATTTAATTTACGAACAAAAGAAAAAGCAGCAAAATGGGTATTAGGTGGTGTTTGTTTATTATTAGCCGTGTAGATATACAGACATCTCAACTTTGTTTTATTAATTGTTTTCTTTTCCTTTTGATGTATTATCTGTTGTCTGCTCATTTTATACAATATTTATTTGAATATATCTGCTCAAATTTATTTTTTCCAAAAGAGAATTTTTGAGTCATTTGCTTTTTATTTTTGTTGATATCAATTTGTTTTTTACGTATTTTTTATGATTATACAAATAAATGAGTCGCGAAGCAGCTGATTAAAAGTGTAGAGTAGTATTCCTAATAAGAATTTTAACCCTTTTCCACGGATAAAAATTAGGTACACAATCTTAGAAATCAGAAGATTTATTTTAACAAATTGGCAACTAGTAGAAGCCATGTTGCTACCTGTCGCTTGAAGTATGTCACTTGAAAATGTGTTACATATGATACAAGTATACATAGATTGTACTTGTATATGCTTTTCAATAGCAAAAATATTGTCTAAAGAAAAACATTGTCTTCTTCACTGCTTTGCTTTCTACTTATTCGGTTGTCGATATTTTATGAGTACAGAAAAAATCACAGAAAAAAAATTACAGAAAATCAGGTACGTTTTACTACACGATACGCGGGAAACAAACTGCGAGCACGGTACGTTCTACTACGCGACCCGTGGGAAAGAGTTAAACATGATGAACTTCTACAGTTTGTCATCATATTTTTTCTGTTAAAACGTAGTAGAAATCCATATTGATCTCTCTTAATCTATCAATTTTCAAAAACGCTGACTTAGAGATGATAAATTTTTGATTATGGGGCATCCACTAAACAGATACCAAAAGGATTTCTGTGCAAAATGTACTATTTATAGCAACAACGTAGGATATGGATACCAGTAACTCACATTTTCAGAAACATGTAATCACGTCGGCTGGCTTCAGTCATCGGAGTATGTAGGCTTTTTCTTAACATGTACTTACTCTAGTGTTCAACAATTATAGATTTATATCGTTAAAGGATATTTGCAACTCGGACGTTTCCGGAAATACCACAAAAAAAATTCAAAAATCCTAGTACCGTCACCTATTTCCTGTCACTATGACATAACAAAATAGATGATGCTAATAAACAGAATAACTAATTAGAAAATATTGTGACTGATGCCTCAAGATTAATATCTTGATTTATGACTGTATACAAATTTTTTTCGTAAGAGAGTATCTGTTTACAACACTCTGGCCTGTAGCTCTCTTTATTTTTCGTGGTTGATGTAAACTAAAGCCATCTTTTAATACTATGTATTTTATGCGAACTGAGGAATATTTTAATCTTGCTGATAATAAGTCTACTACCAATTGCAAGATGTGATCTTTACATTGCAATTCGTCTATTTTTAACTTTTGAATTTGACATTTACTATGAAAACATCTATGAGTAGAGTAAATACTCAAACTTTGTTTCATGTTGCATGAAAACTAAGTTGTATTTTTTTTATTTATTATCTGTTATTGGTCGGATTTTAAATTGAAATTCGAGAGCAACGGTCTATTATTCTCTTTTACTGTTTATGTTCTGATATTATTTATTTGCATATATGTAGACTGTGCCTCTCTGAAAAAAGTGAGGACTGCAGGCCTGGTATCTCTCTACCTACTATCAAGTAATATTTATCTTGCTCTCCTGCTGATGTTTTAAAAATAATTTGTAACAAAATTGTTTTCTTTTTTTTATGCGTAACAAATATTCACATTTGAATACTAAACGACTTGATAATGAGCTTTAGGTAATATAGAACATGATGTGGAGAAGAAACTTTTTCTTTCGTGTACAGTAATAAAAACAAAAATAGACGAAAAATCGGTTGTGCAATCTCACTCCAGAAAATTAAAAAAGAAAACAACTGGTATTTGATCTGATACATTTGTGAACAGTACAGAAATGAAAGACAGTGAAAGCATAGAAATGCACCAGAATGAATCATTATGAAATGAACTTGATGTTGAAAATAAATTTAATCAAGACTTAGTAGAGAATGCTCGATGAAGCCCAGTGAGACTACATGAAAAATAGCAAACGCTTAGAGAGTCATCAACAAGTCTGTACGGGTTCCTGCTTTTCACGGAACTTTTTAAGTAGAACCTATGGGCTGTGGATTGACGTTTCAGTGTGCTATAGTGATATCAATGTACCACAAACTTCACTAAGCCAGACTGGAATTCAATAGATGAAATTTCGAAATTCAGTCTGAAAAGATTAAAGATTTTATTTGAAAAAGAGTTGTTACAGAGAAATCCGCTGAGGGTGCCACACTACGTTACAAAAATACAGCTGTCAAGTAGCGCCTTCGGCGAATTTCTGTGTCGTTGCTCCCGAGTCAAAAAATTTTCAATTAATAATATTTTTTTGGAAGTCAAGAGAATTTTGGGCTTTCCTCATAAAGTCTGCGATTCACCGCTTTGTTACTTTCCATGGCTATATTAGTCAACTTGGCTGTTGACGTCTAGCTACGCAACGTTCAGATTTTTTTCAATAGATATGAATCAATTCCAAAACAGTTGCATAGGTACTTTGAAAGCCTTTTGCTTTCTCTTTTTTGATGGAAAAAAGCAACAATTTTTCAATTACTGGGGCTAGATGCAGAACTGTCATGGCCAATGGGGCGTCATCCCTAGAACTCTCCGCTGGTCACGACAGTTCTGCGTCTAGTCAAAGACTACCAGAATGATGACATGTATTAGGTTTCTCTTGTTAACGTTAAAAAATATATTGTAGATTTTTTACAAAATCCGATGGATTTTGTAACGGAACTTTTCCACGGGATGTCGACAGATAACCTTATTAATATTTTCAGGGATCAGGAAATGCGTTATGCGTGTGGATACATACAATGATGTTTGCAAAACAAATTTTCTCTGTTATAGCGATCTACACTTCGTTCTACATTATCATTCTTTACATCAGTCGCACTAAAATAAGTTCTTCATGCTTGAAAATAAATATGGAGGAAGGAAGAGACTTCCATAGTGGTCGATTGCAATCATTCGAGAAGTGGGATTCTAATCTCATTTTACAGGTAAGTAAACAGAACTAATTTCAATACATAACCACGCTCTTCTATTGTACTAAAAAATGGTGTGTCAAACAAATCCATTACTCACTTATACTAAACAAAACAACTATTCAGAGTTTAAATTTAGCAATCTAACTACGAAAGTGATTTGATGTATGTTGACCATAAGATGACAAACCTGTAAAGAATGTACTGTGTTTTTTATACTCAGTTTAACGGTAGGTTTAACGAGTAGAATGTTTTGCTGGAATCGCCCGCTAATAGAAAACGAATTGACTAGCTGTACATTGAATTATATATTAAAAAATATCAAAAACTTCGTCTATGTATTGCTATCTTTACATTTTCATATTGAGTTCAAGGCTATACGCAAGAGAATCAATGTAAGAGGAACAGAAAAAAATAACCAAAAAAAGAAAAAGAAATGAAATGAAATGTTTGTAAAGCGAGTAAGAGAAAGGGAGAAAAAGAAGCAAATTTGGTGAATGACTTTATGTGTTACTATCATTATGAAAATCGAAAAAATGAAGTGAAATGATAACAGCATAAAGTAAACAAACATGACGAGTGGTTTGTATTTAATGGTTTTTAAAATGATAGCAGATAATTTTCAATCTAAACTTTCTGTAAATGATATGGGTTTTTTTATTCTAAACAACTAGACAAATTTTTTCTCATTTTTTTCACAAATTCTTCTATATATATGTCTATGTATTGAACTTTTTCTCTTTTTTTCTTCTTCTTCTGCTGTGTCAAGCAAATCACGAGACAAATAAATGTTCTCGTATAAGAAGAACCACTAATCATTATGCATACGTTTCAACGGTTATTGTACATGCTAGAAACGTCGTCCGATTGTTGTGAACAAGTATAGGCGACAATACTGAAAAAAATAAAATATATACAAAAAAAAGATGGAAGGAAAAACGAGAAAAATCACCACATTGTCTTCGCGTTCTTCTCCCACACCTGTCCCTATTCTTCATCATCATCATGTATCAAAAAGAGGAGAACAACTACAAGACAGTTCATTCAATGAGCAACAACAACAATTTGTCTCTAAAAGAAGACCACCACCACCACCACCGTCCATAGAGGAAGATGATGACAAACCATATGTTGAGCAGAGGCAATTGAAATATACCGTAAAAGCGGAACCAGTTATATTTCCGTCTGAATCTTCCTCACTATCTCGGCAACATTCATCAGTACTACACACAACAAATCACGTGCAACGAAAACAAGACGCAATAACTACCGAAATAAGAACATTTGACAAAGAAGAAGTGAACGAAAATTCGAACAATAACAATAATAATTCATATCAGCCTCATCAATATCCAGTGGACATCGTTGTCCGACCACATAATCCGAATCGACATTCAAAAACAACAGCCTCGTTACCTGCTACATCAGTTATAAAACATCAGCGGTATTCCGACTTATACGGTAAAAACCTCATTACTAGATAACCATATTGTTTGTCGACACTTATTTCTATTATAGGTCAGACAACAACATTAACGATGAACAGCGATAAAACACCACACTCCTATCATTTAACACCTCCTTTATTGAACAATAGTGTAACTAATTCTAGCGTTCGTCGTTCGAATGATGATAGTCGCACATATTCATTTCACGAAGATTCAAATTATTATGTACCACTCAATCGAAAATATACAATGCAAGCAGCAAAATCACACGGAGATCTTTCCTGTCATAATCAACATCCAAATAACGGCATCACTAGCCGCAATCATTCCAGTAACAACGAAAGTATAATGCAGCAGCGATATCGTTCAGAATCACCACCACCCGTATTAACAAATATGAATAACTCACTTTTAACAAAAACTCTCAATAGTAATACAACAACTGAACATAATATACAAGACTCTAATATTAGCAACAATAATACATCTAAGCTAAAGAACGATGAAAAAAATTCATCAAAAATCCCGTTATGGAAGCGTCTTAAAAAAATTATTGTTCCAAAGAGAAAAGAACGTTATCGACCAGTGCAGCAATATCAACAACAAAAGTCTTCATCCGAACAACAGATAATCGAGCAAATAGGAGGTATGTTTTTTATTCGAAAAAAGTTTGAAAACCTTCGATTGGAAACGCTTTATTTAGCAGATTTCTTAAAAACAGCAAAAACTGTATGGAGAGAGTCGAGCTTTTTCCTTAATCTTGGGCAAACAAATGACGAATTAATTAAGAACGCTCCCCTTCAGAAAGTTGATTTCTTGATCAAAGATTGATTTTAAGATTTTTTACATAGATAGATAGTCTGAAGTATCCTCTTTTAAAGTTCACATTGTTGTGGATCCTAAAATTGTTTTTCTATAAGGTTTTATGGAATTCCGCAAAGTACTAACAAACAGAATATTTAAAAATAACTGCCCTAGTCATCTTATATAGGAATCTTACCAGAAACGTTTAAGTCCCTTACCAATGTCTTACAAGATTCTTATCGGAATCTTATCAGTTTCTTATATAAGTTTGTATAAGATTTTCCATCGACAGTCGTAAGTGTCTTATAAGATTTTCATAAGAGGTTCGTAAGAAATTCATAAGAAGTACCAAAAATTCTTATGAAGTTTTCCAGCCAATAGAAGCAACTTAACCATAACAGAAATCACCAAAACGAACTCATAAGCTGTCTTCTAGTAAATAAGAATAACATAAGCATTTTTGGTACTTCTTATGAATTTCTTACGAACCTCTTATGAAAATCTTATAAGACACTTACGACTGTCGATGGGAAATCTTATACAAACTTATATAAGAAACTGATAAGATTCTTCAGTTTTATCAAAAAAAATTTGTCTAGACCGTTAGTCCCACTGTATATTGCATTCATTCGTTCTTTTTTGAAACATATAAATTTGTAAATCAACCCCTTCTCTCGAAGTCTGTGCGATCTTATGTTTGGAAATTGTGACCGTTTTTCTAGAAGTCCTAGAATGCACCAGTGGATTACACTATCTTTTCTCATTAGCAGTTTTGGTGCTAGTGTCCTCTACAAGGCAGATGTTTTTTCAGAAACGGCGCAGTGTAATCGTTTGTTGGGAAAACTTCATTCTGTTGACACGAAAAAAAAGGCATTTGTCTTAGCTTTGAATTGAACCGTGTGCGAATCAGTTATGAAGGCAAAATTCAAAAATTGTCTTGAACTATTTATAGAGAAACGTGTAGATTTTCATATTAAAATAAATATGAGGATATTTTTCATCTGAGAAACTATAACTCTTGAAATTTCTATCCAAGTCAATTCTGATATGTAGACGTTTTTCTCGGAGGTGATCTTCCTTAAGAAAATTTCAGTGTATAGGAGTGGGCACAATACTTGGTTTTCTGTACAAATTAATCATCGCCGTGACTATAGATCAAAATTAATATCGGAGTCATAATTGACTTTCTTTTTCTACTATGTTTGACATTCCTTACTAAACACATAATCACTTTTTATATGAACAAAAAAAAAGAAAAAACGATTGATTTTGTTGTTTAAACTATGAAAGGTATTTTGATCTATTGTAATTAGTGAATATAAATATTCTATTTGTTCAAACTATATTGTAATCTCTTTGATGAGTACATTGTTGTAAATATAAACGGCTTATACATTTTTTCTTTTCAACAAGTCCTTAGATTAATAAAGACATTGTGTTGTTCGAAAAAATCTTTGTATTGACAATATCAGTGTCTGTAACTAAAATTCAATTGATTCAATTTCAATCCGAAGGTTTCAGTCATTTTTAATCTCAACATTTTCTCACAAAAATATTCGAATTTATCATGTATGATCGTTTTTCATTTTGTCATTTGATCTTTGATTTTTTGATTAAAAAACAAATCATTATTGACACAGAAAACATCACAGTCTCACGTGTAAGTGTGAGTCAAAGAAACAGAAAAATATTTTTAATATTCTTCGACTTGAATTATTTCAATGAAAGTAAACAGGAAAAAAATTATTGATAGAATATTAATGTTGTACTATACGAAAAGATTACTATTCATTCTTTAATAACTCCATCACAGAACTCGATTATTTAGTAGAAATATATTTTTTTGTGGATTAAATTATTTAGAAAAAAAAGAGGAAAATAAATTCGAACAGAATCTTTCGTAGTTTTAGACAATAAAATGGTACATAGAAATATGTCTTGTATCTGTAAATGTTATATTTGCTATATTTTATATTTGGATTTATAATCTACTTAGAATTAAAATAAAACCTTGATGATAAAGAAATGACACATTAAGCTAATGACACTCGACGTTTGACGTCTATTAAGACTAAATGAGTTATGATATTTTTCTTTAGTACGTTGGTGGATGATAGATATTGTTTACACTTTAATGACATATGTCATAAAACGTTTCATTATAATTTTTAGTCAACTGACTATCATTATGCCTTCATTAAATCGTTTGAGATTGTTGTCTAATAGATAGAAGTTGATTGTAACGTAGAGAAATTATTTTTAGCATAATGTAAAGCTCCGGCGCGTATCATTATCAATTATATGTTTTTCATCATTTATTGTTGTTGTTGTTGTTGTTGTTGTTGTTCTGCATTGTAATTAAAAAATCAGATTTTAAACTATCAACGAATACTAAAGAAATTATTATTATTCTTTGTAAATAATCAAATCCTAATCGTTTTAATGTAATACATATTTTTATTTCTTTATCCTGTGTAACATTAACTTAACGTTTTTGTATATGTGTGCATATACAACATTATACTCCTAGAAGAATGAAAAAAAAGGTATTATAATCGTCGTCTATACCTACGTATGTCCATGAATCTATGTGTATCTTTTTCGATCTTCTTTCCATATATATATATTTGTACACGCTTATAATAATACACGTCATCATTAAAAAGAAAATACTTGATTGTAGTTATAATATTTTATCGTCTATTTTTGTGCTCGCTCTTTCTCAGTAATAAACATCAAAATATCTTCAGTTATGAATAATAATAATAATAATAAATCAAAAATAATAAGTACTACTCCTAGAAGTACTGCCCATCGACCAGCTAATTTTCATTTACAAAGTGATGTAGTTTATTTGGATCAGTCTAGAAACAATGATCAGAAACAAACAGCTACAAAAGAAAAATCACTAACTGATAAAGAAAAAGCAGGAGTGATTTCAAAGGAAGCGACTAGTTCGACATCGGAGATACAATCTTTTCCTCAACAGAGACGGACAGATGTAATCAAAAACGTAAAAGCGTCGAAAGAAATAAAGGAAACAGCAGCATCTGAGAAATCAAGTAGAAAACTGAAAGGTAATTAAATTACTTATAGTCCTACTTCTTTTCTATTTTTTTTCCTACAGTGGATGTAATTTGTACGATATTATAATATCGTACAAATATAATGAGAAAATAAGATAGTGATAATATCAATATTTTTTAAAATGCTGTTGAACCAATTGATAAAGAACGATAATTTTCTTTCTCAAAGTATATTGTTAATGATGAGTGAGCGTGTCAAATAAATTCAAATAACATTTCTGTTTTTTAAATATCATTTAATATTTCTATATTTTAGGTAAAACAGTGACAGATGGAATTTGTACAACGACCAGTAAATCTCCATTTCAATATCCAATTAAAGTAAATGAAATACGTTCATGGATCAAACAATTTCCTGAACAACGTATTCGAGAAGAATATGAAGTATGTTTTAATAATATAGATAAAATTTTTTTGTTATATATTTAATATAAATTTTTATTTTAGAAATTACCAACAGAAATTCTTTATCCTCGTACTGTTGCACTTAAACCAGAAAATAAATTAAAAAATCGATTTACAGCAATCGAAGCATGTATGTAATTAGAGTAATATTAATTTTAATATTTATATACATTTTAGTTTATTTTTAATCTATTTTTTTTTAGACGATCATTCAAGAGTTATATTGAAACCAGTGGGAAATGATTCATCCAGTGATTATATTAATGCTTGTTATATCGATGGTTACAAAACACAAAAAATGTACATTGCTGCTCAAGGTGAGTGCATACCGTTTCAGTCATATTTATAGTTACTAGTATTATTAAAATTTTATTTAAATATTTCAAAAATAAAAGTATAAAGTTATACTTTACTTTTATCTAATATTATCTATAATTTTTTACAATCTAAACTTTTCTATTCTTCAGGTCCAACTGAGCATACAATGTACGACTTTTTACGTATGATATGGCAATTACGTATAGAGTACGTTATTATGGCAACAAGATTGTTCGAAGAAGGTAAGGTAAGGTTACTTTTAACAAAATTTTAAATTTTATATATTATTTAGTATAATTTTATATCTAGAATAAATGTGCACAGTATTGGCCCGATGATGGTGAAAAAAAGGTGAATGATTTGCGTATTAAATTGGAATCAGAAGATAAATATGCTGATTATGTAATTCGACGATTATCCATTTATATGCAACATGATGTATGTTTTATTCCTACTCAATAAAAACTATTATCATAAACTATCATTTTTAGCCATCCAACATTGTAACATTTAAACAATATCATTTTGTATCCTGGCCAGATCATGGAGTTCTGTCTCTAACGACGGTTATACTTGATTTTAGACAGCGGTTTCGAGAAGATTACTCAGAGAAACCAATTGATCCCATTTTAGTACACTGCAGGTAAATAATTGATGTGTATATTGAAAATTACACTCTATTTTCTTCTCTTTCTTTTTCTAGTGCGGGTATCGGTAGAACAGGAACGTTTATTGGATTAGATTCGTTACTTGAAATGTCGCTAGAACAAGATACCATTGATGTACTAGAATTTACGTATTTAATGAGACAAAAGCGTGTATATATGATTCAAACAGTTGATCAATATGTATTTTTATATCGAGCGTTAATCGAAGGCATTTGGACATCAGATACGAATATACCAATAGACTTTTTTAAAAAAAAGTTTAAAATAGATACTAAAGCGCAGTATAGAGTAAGTTAAATATTAGAGGTATTCAATATATTTATTCTCTATCTTCGAAATTTATTCAGCTTCTGGAACAGTTTCAATCAACAATCGAATTAAATTATCAAAGCGCATTAGATCCTATTAATATTAGTAAAAATCGTTTGGATACAATATTAGCATGTAAGTGAGAAAAATTGATTTCTCATTCATAATAATAATTAAAAATGTTGCGTAGGTGATTCGGGCCGTCCTTATTTGATGACACAAATCGATAAATGTACAGATTATATAAATGCTGTTTATGTTAATGTAAGGTTTTTTTTGAACTTTTATGGTATCATCGTATTTACCTCTTTTTCCATTTAGGCATACAGGCAAGCACCTGTCTATATTGTGACACAATATCCATTACCAACAACAGTTGTCGATTTTTGGAGACTAATTTACGACCATAACATTAATATTATTATGCTGCTAGAGATGATACCACGAGATACGGTATGATTTCATTTTTTCATCTCGTGCTTAGTTAAATATTCACTGAAAACAATATAAATTTGAGAGATATAAATGCTTATTTCCGTAATGTAAATAAAGTTCAATTTATTAAACACATATTAAAGGGATTCATATCTATGAGTCTTATATATTTTATTTGTTCTTAATCATGTTAGTCTGAAACATTTTTAATCTGTTTCATTGATGAAGGCTACACCTGGTCTAATGTCTGGAATAAATTGAGACCTATTTTCACTGGGAAAATAAGCATTTATATTTCTCAAATCTCACTATTCCGTACAGAATAGCAATGTCTCAATGAAACGGTAAAAACCGTTGCTACCGGCAGGCGTAGTTTTGTTTTAGTAAATACCAGTTTCAACTTTCTAAACCATTTTAATGAGCTTTCGTACTAACGTCAACACTTGACAGTGATTGGAGGAAGTTACATTTAAAGCTGAAACTTTGGGTGTAAAGGTTAGCGACTATCGGGAAGCTGAGAAGAGAGCAATCCAATTGATCAAAGTTCTTTTGAGCAATTTTGATAATGAAAATGCACTCAAATACGTTATCGATAGAGATGGACGGAACTAATCCCGTCCAGCTCCGATAGCCTCTGATCAAGATAAGCTAAAACGAAATCAATTTCCATACTTTACAACATTTACACTACAAGTTTCAGCTTTAAATGTCCCTTCCTCTGATCAGATCAGTGTTAAGTTTTGACGTTGATGTACGTGAAAAATCGTTAAAATGGTTTAATAAACTGGTAGTGACTGAACAGGTTATTAACGGATCGTTTATAGATCATCAAGACCATCTTTACATCGTGTAACTGGAGCTGTTTTACACTTTTTTCCGCAAGGAAATAATTGTAACTTGATTTGAAGAAAATTTAGTGTTATATGTGACAGAAATATAAGCATCCAAAACAGATCAAAATTG